CCCAGCTTGCTCAGCCATTATTAGAGAAGTTTCTTCCTACAGCAGATGGGAACAAATACAGAGACCTACAGCTAGATATTGTGCAGAGAGTGAGAGGCCTTAGAACACTCAGCCTTAAATGGTATGCCTGTATTAAATCCCTCCCTTCAGGGATCAGGGAACCCTGTGGAAGATGAGACTGAATGAATATAAGAGCCAGAGAGGATGGAGGACACCGAGGAAAAAAGACCTCCTAAACACACCAGGGCTTATACACACATGAACTCACAGAGACTGAGGCACCATGCACAGTGCCTACAGAATGTGCACCAGATGGGGTCCTAGAGCTGAAAGAAGTGGACACATGCCCCCATCCCTCATCCAACAAAACCCATCTCCAATTGATAACAACTTGCAAATGAAAAATTAGTTTTCTCCAGGGAGTCTCACTGGGGAAGCAAATCTACACGTAAGTGTAGACCTCGTGCCCAGCAGCAGATGGGCAACAGAAAACAAACCCAATGGCATCTTTGGAGGGTCATTATCTCATGATGTCAGGGTTCCCCCACCCCATCATACACACGCGCGCTCGCGCACACACACACACACACACACACACACACACACACACACGCACTTATTTTATTATGGTTGTTTCTTTTCATCCTACAGAGCCTTGTGTGTGTATTATGGCTTCTGGTTTTATGTTTTTATGGGATTTCTGAGTGTTAAAACAAGTGTGTCTCTGAGTCTATATGCGTTTCTTATGCCTTTTCTTGGGCTCTTTTCCTTCTGTTGGTTTAATTTGCCCTATTCAATGTGTCTGTTTTGTTTTATTAATATTGTCATATTATGTTATATTATATTATGTTAATAATACTATATTACATTATTATTCCTTAGATGTCTGTTTGTTTTCTAAGGGGGGCAGAAGAAGGATGGATCCAAGTGGGAGGATGTGGGGAGTAACTAGGAGTGAAGGTAGGAGAAACCATAATCAGAGTACATTGTGTAAAAAAAAAAATCTATTTTCAATAAAAAAAAACCCTTGGAGCTATGTTGGAGACCAAATATATAAACGATACATGTTATGATAAGCTGCCAGATTCAGTTTCTGTTTTCTTCTGTTTAGCAGATTGGTCTCATATTTTATTAGCATAAACATCAACCTGATTAGCACAGAGGAGATCTTAGTGTAACCTAGAAACCTGTTGTAAGACCAATATTTTTAGAAAAACACAAGATAGTGATAAATAAAATATGTGCATGAAAACACTAATATATGATACAAAGTTATAAATTGTTATTAAATGCTCAATATGGTAAATTATTGGAAATGTAATGAAATGAATTGTGCATATCTGTTGACAAAGGTTTCTAGAGCACCCAAGTCCTGCCCAGTCCCGCAGCCATTCAGCCTCAAAGAAACACACAGAGGTCTATATTAATTATAAACTTGTTGGCCTATTAGCTCAGGGTTCTTATTAACTCATAACATATATTACCCATAATTCTTATTTGTGTTAGCCACGTGACTTAGTACCTTTTTCGGCAAGGCAGTCACATCTTGCTTCCTCTTTGTCTGGGTGACAGCAGCAGACTGACTCTTTCCTTTTCCCAGGATTCTGTTCTCATTACCCCGTCTCTACTTTCTGCCTGCCTACTGGCCAATCAGAATTTTATTAAACAAGTACAAGAAACAAATCTTTACAGAGTAAAACCATTGTCCCACAGCACATACCAATAGATTCCAAAGGGAAATAAAAATTTTAATTCTCAAAAGAAAGAAAGAGAAGAAGAAAGAAAGAAAGAAAGAAAGAAAGAAAGGAAGGAAGGAAGGAAGGAAGAAAGCGAGCCACATACGAACTGGGAACGAGCCAGCATCCCCTCCCCCACCCCAAGTTTCTGCTTCAAGCTTCTGCCTTGAGTATTTATTGTAGCAACAGAAAAAATTAGAACAGCCTCCTGTCCTCCATGGTACCCACATGCACATGCACACACATTGAATAAAATAAATATTTCTTAAAGGAGAAGATATTGCCATTTCAAAACAAGTAAGAGATGAATTGCAACCACGCCAAGCCAGAGCTTCTACCGGGCCCTCTCTTCTTCCCTTCCCAAAGCATCAGGTGTGAGGACTCAAGAGTGAGGTTAGCTCCGTATGTCATGTCTGTGATGCAGCATTCAACTCTTCATGGAACTTTCTGGAAAACCAACCTGGTCCAGCCCAGGAGCAGAGGGACAAGAATTATGCTGGTTGTCTTGCTTTGCTTCATCACCACCCATTTCTCCCTGTGTGTGGCCTTTGGCATCCTTGTTACTCCTGTCCAGAGCTGGGCTACTTCCCCTGGGTGAAATCAGGGCTGGGTCAAGGCCCATTGTCCCTCACTGCTTCTCCCTTGGAGCTGCTGAAAGTGACTTCCATGCCCACTTCCTGTGGGAGCTCAAAGACAGCTGTTGGGAAACTCAGGACAGACAAGCTGCTGCTCCCTTCCCTCCCCCACCTCCCACAGGCATCAAAATAGGTGTGCTCCTGTCTGGAAGCTCCAAGTGTGAAGAGCTTTGATTAGAAGGGGTGCTGTGTGGATGGAGAACACCAGCGAAGTGATGGCCTTCTTAATCCTGAGGAAAACAGGGATGCAGAAAGTTGATGGGGTTTGTAGGCAGAAGTTTCTGTCCCACCAGCGGCTCCCAAATAAACACACTGAAGTTTATGTTAGTTACAAATGCTCGGCCAAAAGCTCAGGCTTATTGCTAACTAGCTCTTACAACTTTAACTCATTTCTATCGATCTATGTATTGCCACATGGCTCATGGATTTACCTGTCATCCAGCATGTCTTCTTCCCCGTGTCTCCTGGTGATCCCCTGACTCTGCCCTTCTTGCTCTCAGTATTTTCAATTTGGCTATACTTCTGCCTGGCCAGTCAGTTCTTTATTAACCAATGAGAGTAATATACATTTCCGCAGCAGGCGTTGCTTGCCCAAGGTCATACATGTTCATTCCATGACCCTACTCCGGGTGGAGAAGGAAGCAGAATCTGCTGTTAGATTCCAAGGCCACTGTTCTAGCCTAGAGGTATAAACAGGGTCAAGCTTATGGCCACCCATATTTTACACCCCTGTTAGTCCTCACTTTCTACCCACAGTAGCTTCGTAGGGTATGTTCTCCTTTTCTTCTTTTTATGTGTGTTTGTTTTGATAGAGCTATGAGGCCCAGAACAGCTTCTTGCCTAAACCCCAGGAGTACTGGAATTACAGTTGTGTGTCACCACGCCCAGCTATAACAGAAAAGGACCCAGCCATGCCTCCACTTCAGCGTGTTTCCATGTCCTGCCCACAAGGCTGCAGCAGGGCAAACACAATAAATAACCAAGGGTCATGGAGTGCCTTGACTCTCTATGATGATGCACTGGGCTTCCAGACCCAAAGTAGAATCCATTGGTAGGAAAGCAAACGGAAGCTCTCGTGACCTCCCATTCCCTGATCAAATGTCAAGAAAAGGAAGTCTAGGAATAAGAGATTTGCCCTGTCAGAATGGCAGTGGACTTGGCTCATTTGCCACTAAACACACACTCTGGGGATATCTGAGTTCACTTTGCATTGCTGGGATAAAACACCATGACCACGAGCAACTAGGAGAGGAAATGGGTTCTTGGATCTTACAGTTTATAGTCCATCAGGAAGGAACCCAAGGCAGGAACCTGGAGACCCGAACTGAAGCAGAGGTCATGGAGGATTATTTCTTACAGGTTTACTGCCCTCCTGGCTTTCTTAGCCTGATTTCTTAGACAACCCAGAACCACGTGCCCAGGATGGCGCCACTCATAGCACTGAGCACTTCTAAGTTTATCATTAATCAAGAAATTGACGCCACAAAAGTGTCTTCCAGTTGGAATAGGCCTGATGTGTGGAGACTGTGTCAACACACACAGGTTCAAGGCAGGCAGCACTAAGGGGAATGTGGACACGGGCTCCCACCCCTAGCCAAGCAGCCGCCTGCAATTGACAGCCACATGAAAAAGAAAAAATAGTTTTCTCCAGTGGAATCTCACTGGGTGAGCTTATGCACACTAGGGGTGGATCCATGCCCAGTAGTAAACGACCAACACTAAACCAACTCAAAGCTAATTTTTGTAGACTTTTGTCTCATATTATTTTGTTTGGGCCATTTTCGTCTTACTGGTCATTTGCTTGTATATTATTGTTTCCAATTTTATGTTTTTATAGGTTTTTTTTTGTATGTGTGTTTCTTTTTTATTATTCTGTTTTGTTTTGCTTGTTTGTTTTCTAAGGAAAGAGGGAAGAAGGGTATGGGGTTGGATAGGTGGGGAGGTGGGCGGGATCTGGGAGGAGTTGGGGAGAGGAAACCACGGACAGAATATATTGCATGAAAATTATTTTTTTCAGTTAAAAAATAAAAGTAGCAAGAATACAAAAAGGGACAAAGATCAGTCCCTACAGTCTGATCTGATGGCTGTATCTTCTCCATTGAGGTTCCCTTTTCCTAGATTGCGACCCAAGTTGTCAAAACACTGACCAGCACACGGGAAGAGAGAAGAGATGGGCTGGGTCTGATATACTGAGAATGATGGGGGAATCAGAAGAATGGGGCACAGATGCACAGCCCGAGGAAACACAGTCTGTGCCAGACACCTACTGCTAACAAATCACTCCCGAGCTTAATGGCCAACACCTAGAACCGCTGTTAGGTTCTGAATTAGGAATTCAGGCCAGCCATAGAGCTGGCCTTTCTCTGTTCAGCACTATCTGCAGTTTTAGCAGGAAGGCTGACCTGGATCTGTGGGAAGAAGCACGTGTCCAGGCACTGCTGCTGGCCGGCGGTCACTGATGACCTCCCCGCATGGTCCACATGCAGCATCTGTCCTTTGAGACAGAAGTCACATTAACACTGATGACGCCTCCAAGGTCACGTCTCATGGCGTGTACATTCCCTGAGTAGTCAAGTATATTTTTTAAAATTGTGTCACATGTTCAAATAAAATAAAATAATAAAATAAATAAAATCTAAGTCATTTTATTAGGTATAGCTTAACGGACGTGTACTTGGGATTTAACAGGGATGGGGGATGAGAGGTGGGACCGAAAGGCTGGTGAGGAGGTGGTGATGTTGCGGTGGCAGAATGCAAGCAGTGATCACCCGGAACTTCGCTTGTGTCCTGGCTGACTGGCCCAGGTCATTCTTAGAAGCAGAGTCCGTGGTTTTCCAGCTGTCAAACTACAAAACAACAACGTGGGAGCCAGTGAGCCTTCCCACCTCTGCTCCCAGACCACCCTCTGCCAAAGTTTCTTCCCATGCTCCTCCCCAGAAATGCCTCCTTCCTCTGAGCGCTCCTTGGAAGGGGCTAGGAGTGCAAACACGTAGCATGTGTTCTCTCATCTGCTTGCAGCTCACTCCGTGCCAAGCACGATGTTAAACGTTCACGCTGCCTCACAGTTGTGACAAACGCCATCTATGGCAATCACCCCGCTTCACACGTGAAGAAGCTGCGGTATGGAAATACAGGAACTTGTCCACACGGTGCCATTGGATTGGCCTGAAGCTCAATCTTGAACCCAAGCAGCCTGTCTTGGGCATTTTCTGACCCTGAACCCTAAAAACAAAACTTTTTTTTTTTAAAAAAAAAAATTGGTTCACAGATTCAGTTCAATCACTTTGTACTTTGGGTCATGACAGCACAGACTATCATGACAGGAGCAATGGCCCAGAAGGCCTGCTTACTGTCTGACAGTCAGAAAGCAAAAGACACAGAAGAGGCCAGGTTTCCAATATGCCTTCAACGTCACACCCGTAATGGCTTTCCATCAAACCCCACCTCCTAAATGTCCACTTCCCAGTAGTGCCACAGGCTGAGGACCAAGCCTTTAACTTTAATGAGCCTTTAAGGATCATTCAAGACTCACTCTGTACCACAGGCTCACTGTGCGGCCGGCCCATGCTCTCTAGCCCCAGATCCTTAGATGGGGAAAACAGTTACAGCCCAGAGACAACAAAGATCATTCAGGACGCTGATTAGCTACAAATAATAAACACCCACAAGGAACTAAAGCCAACCAAAATGCTTAATGGGGGTTATAAGTGAAGAACAGACAAAAGAAAGAGAAGTCAGGGTATACATAAAGATCAAAACTAGGTTAGAGCATTGGAAAAGAAACAAGTAAATTTTTCAAAGTAAGACTGCAATCAAAGCAAGAAGACACATAAATGAATAAGGCTGTGTACAGAAACATAACACAGTTAGATTTGACATTGGATAGACTGCAGATCTGCTGTAGTAAATAAATGCTGATGGTCAGATGGGTGTTTGCTTATGAAACAAGAACTACCGTGACAGATTAAGTAACTAGGAAGGAACACAAGAAGCCCCTTATTGTCCCCTGCAAAACACTCTGCTTTTCTATGGGTTTGAATTTTTTTTTCAAAGTACATACAAATTTCTGTTATGTGAGTCTGGCACACTGAAGACAAAATGTTCAAACTTTGCCAAGTTACATGGTTCCCTAAATCCTCCTTTTGATTTGACCTGCCTTCAAGCCACTTTGTCTTCTGCTGTGGAATAATCCTCTCGCACACTATAAAGATTTGTCACTCAAATTATTTTAATAAAACACTGATGGGTCAGTAGCCAGAAAGGAAGTATAGGCAGAGTAACCAAACCAAGAATGATGGGAAGAACGAGCAGTGTCAGGAGTCACCAGTCAGACACAGAGCGGACAGGAGATAAATGTGCTATGGTAATAAAGGTAACACCATGTGAGAGAGTATAAATAAAGAATATGGGTTAATTTAAAATGTAAGAGCTAGTTAGTAATAATCCAGAGCTATTGGCCAAGATTTTGTAATTAATGTAAGTCTCCATGCGGTAATTTGGGAAGCAGCTGTCAGGTATTTGGGAACAGGCAGTTGGGACAAGAAACTTACTTACACTCTTCAGTGTCTCAAAGAGAAAACTGTTACTGGGTCCTCAGGCTCAGTGTCTTAGAGTGTGCCTTGAAAGCAGATCATTTTATTTTTAATGAAACATACACTGATTTTTTTAATTTAGTGCCTATTGTTCTCAAACTTATGGCAATTGCTTAAAATAAAAAAATATTAAACTTAAATATTAGAAATAAAGAAATCAAAGTATTTCTTTTGCAGAGGACTTGATTGCAGACCTGAACATCCATGGAATAAGCTAAAAAAAAAAAACTCTAGTGGTAATGAGTTTAAATGCAAACTTGGGGCTTGGGTGTAGCTCAGTGATAGAGGCCTGCCTAGCATGTAGAAGATTGAATCTGATCTCCTAATACTGGAAAAACATAAGAAAACAGACTTTTCAACCTCCTAGAAATTGTGTGTGTATTATAATTCATGTTTATATTAACTGTATGTACACATATCACTTTGTGTAGATCTGTATCATGTCATATGCCATAAAAATGGATTTTATTGTTGTGTTCCAAAAAAGAAAAACAGATTGGACAGAGAGGGAATTAGTTAATGTCTGATAAACACCATCCTGAGAAGTTCCAGAGAGTGTGGCTGAGTGCTGTATCCGACCAAAAAAACACTGCAGGTTAAACCAACAAAGTCAATTTGAAATATTAGTAAGTGAATGTCTTATTTGTGTCTTTTCAGCTATAACTCATCTGATATAATAACAAATTATACCAAGGGTTGTTCACTTTAAAAGACTCTGTAATCACTGGCTGCTCGTAAGCTCCTCCTAGGGAGACAGACTACACCCCATCCACCCTAGAGAGCACACTGACAATGGACACAAGTCCCAACTTGGAAACTAGATTATTGGGATTATTTACAGAGCATGAATAAGGGGCAGGGGCTACTCCCAGAAGCATAGGTGTTGCAGTTTCTTTTCTATCACCATGATAAAAACACCATGACCAAAAGCAACTTGCAGAGGAAAGGGATGATTTGGCTACCCTGTCCTAATTGCAGTCGATCACTGGAAGAAGTCAGGGCAGGAGCAGAGAGGCAGGAGCTAGGGATGACAGTTGCTTCCTGGCTTGCTTCTCCCAAGAGGTGAATCCGGAGTATCAGATGCAGTTATCTTTTTAAGTTCTTTAAATACAGCTGGGTGGTGGTGGCACACGCCTTAAATTCCAGCACTCAGGAGGCAGAGGCTGATGGATCCCTGTGAGTTCGAGGCCAGCCTGGTCTACAAAGTGATTTCCAGGACAGCCAGGGCTCACAGAGAAACCCTGTCTCACAAAACAAACAAACAAATTATTTAAATACTTTACACCATGGACTTTCAGTGCGCTATCTGCTACTGGAGTAGTCTTTAATAAATGTAGATTTCATGGAGTTGGAGAGTCAACTCAAGACAGCACCAAACCCCTGTGATGGGTGACTCCCCCAATAGCTACAGCACTGCAGAGTTCCACCCCAACATGGATGAAGTTTCACTGTGGAACTCTCCTTTATCTCCCCCACATCTCATTATGGTTCAGAGAATTGAACCCCGGGCCTCGCACATGCTAAGCTCCTCTCCCACATCTCTTTACAGTACCTGGATTGAACGCTGGGCCTCATACGCACTAAGCTACAATCCCAGTTCTTAGTCCTCCACTTTCTATAGGCTCCAGCATTTCCCAAGATTCCATGTGTCAGAGGGAGGGCAGGAAGGATTGAAGGTTGGACTCCCAGCTGAGGATCCTGACACTTCTACTAGGGACGTCAGTTGTTCCGTGACCAGCACCATGGATCTGGCCAACACTGACCCGTTGTCAGTTAATGTGCTGAGGTCGTCTCTACTCTTGGATGGCCGCAGGGTGAACATGTTATGCCTAGAGGGTAAAAGGCCAGAGTACAAGACTGGCTTGCATTTTTAAATGTTTTTTTTTGCTACTGCATATTGAAATATATTAAGTTGAACACATTAATTATGAATCAGTGGAGCATTGCTATAAACAGAACAAAGTTGCTGAGTCAGGACCAAATAGAATTTGAACAGATTACTTCCAGTATAAGAGATCATAAGTAGCAGGCATGAGGACATGAGTCAACACAAATGTTAGTAAGACAATTAGATGTTGTCAGGAAGAATTAGACACATCTATGATAGCTACACACGCTATGTTAATTCGGATTGTCTTTGGCAAGTCTCTTAAGAGCCTTAAATCTACCTGATAAAGTGGGACTCATAATGCCTTCCTTGAGAGTAGTTGGAAAAAAAGCACACACAGTGTATGTGCAACACGTAGCACAACACCAGAAACACAGGAAACAGTTACTGTTATGAGTCAGGGTGTTAGAAAAAACCCACTGGCTAGATGATCCAGAAACACAGACAGGAAAACATTACTGTCCAAGGGAGAGAGAGCAAGCAAGTTTCTGAGCGTAGAAGCTTGAAGGGCTTTGTCCCACATGCTGCGAACACCTTGTGTCCCGCTCTAAGACACTCTGTAAAACAGTGGCGATGGTCTCCACCAACCTGTCGTCTGACTTCAAGTGTGCCTGTCAAGAACTGGCAGGCAAAGGACTCACGGCTCTCTGGGGCTTCAGCTCAGTTTGTACCTACTGTTGGCTCCGTTCGCTCAATGACGCCCCCCCCTCTTGTTCCCTCATCTGGATCTGCCGTCCACCCATCCACACATCTCTCTCCTGGACCAGGTCCTGCTCTTTCATGTCTTTATTTGGGCTCCACCTACAGCTTCATCTGCAAACCTGTGACCCAAAGTGACTCTGACCACAACAGCTTCTCTGAAGCTAAAAGTAAAAGACACATAACCTTCATGGACAGGATGTGATGCCGACATGGGGAGTGGGAGGATGGAGACAGGGCTGGGAGGCCCAGAGAACGGCCTTCAGAGAAATTTCCCCTAACAAAGGAAAATATCTGACTTTGATATCCTCTTAGGGGCTGGGGGGAAATTCCACAGAATTTAGTCTAGGCTACATGATGAGCCAGGTACTGGGCTGAATTAGGGGTTAGAAAACCACAGCACAGCGTGGCTTCTTAACTCTATCAGGGGAAAGTGTGTGTGGGGCGGGGTGCTGTGGGGGAACTTGGCCTGACTTCTACAGGCTGTGAGATCTGGTCAGCTTTGAGTGACCAGGTCTTAAGGTGACAGAATGATGACCTAACAGAATGTTCAGAAGCTTTAAAAACAGAGCTAAACAATTGTAAAGCAAAATGTGATATATAGGGTCAACTTCTGTCATCAAGCTCCTAAAATGGGAAGCTTTGCAGTGACTAGGGCTAGGCCAGTGAGGTGACAGAGGGGATTTCAGGATAGCCTGGAATCTTGATCTTTACTGCCAAAAACCCTTCCAGAGGTATTCTGGGAAAAGAAGATTATAAGCCGGAGTGCAGAGAAATGGAGCGAAGGTGTCCCTGTATCCACCGGCTAGATTTGTCAGAGCCTCGTGGTCTCCTTCCTCAGACGGGGCTCCAAGGAAGCTTCTCGTGGGCCTGATGGATGTGTGCCTCTCCCTGGCTACTCACCAGCTGAGCCATCTCCCTCTGTTCACAGTGGGATGCAACCTGCTTTGTCCCAAGCCATCCATCAGCCCCTGCAGCTGCCTTGGGCCACCCGGAGCTCTCCGGACCGCTCTGCCTCTGATTTATCTAGATGCCGTCGCTTCCTTCATTTTCTCTTCTCTTTTTTTTGACTTATGCCCCACTCCAGCGGCGTGTTTTATTCCTCTCTCCCAATCTTCACACGCAGCTGTTTCTGCATCCAAAGACAAACATATCATGAAAACTCTGGAGGTGAACCCAAATATCAGTATTTTTCAAAACGCTTCAGGTTGACTTTCTTGTGTAGCCAGAGTTTATAGCCACCTACTGAGAATAGTGCAATAATAGTGAGTGAGTGTAGTGTGAACTTGCCCTATGGCAAAAATCAATAATTATGGATGTGTTGAATTATGTCAAGATGTTCTTCTCTCTTCCCATTTCTCTTACTCTTGCCTATCTACAAAAGTGTAATTTTTTTCCTATAGGGTTTCTCTGTATAGCTTTGGCTGTCCTGGAATTAATTCACTCTGTAGACCAAGCTGGCCACAAAACTCACAGGGATTCACCTGCCTCTGCCTCCCAAGTGCTGGGATTGAAGGTCTGCAACAACACCATCTGGTCAAAAGTGTGCAAATTTTCAAGTATTGTATTTACTTACTTTTGTAATTATTCCATTAGTTCACCAATACTGTCCCTCCAAGACGCTTCTCAATCTAGCTCTTTGCCCAGGCCAGCGCCAGTCTTGGAACCGGGCAGACATCGCCAGGTGGTGTCACTTCACAGGGCACGACTGGTACACTAGCATTTGAGGCTACTGTTCTTTGTGCAGTCCTCTGTTCTCTCTGGTGTGCTGCACAGAGGTTCCCCACAACTGGGCCACGACAGGCAAAACAAGGCTCCACTCATAGCAGCTGCCTGCTCCCTCCGTGGATAAAGAAAGGCTTCTCTGTGCTGTGGCAACCTTGCCTGCCAGCGGCTCCGCAAACAGCTGCTAATGTCCTGCTCAGAGTTCTGGCTGCCCCATGTCCAGGCAAGGCACCGAGTCGTGGGAACATTAGCCGCAGACGAAGGGAGAAGGGTGGGTTGGGCTTCACATGCCGCTGACTGTTCTCCCTCTGCCGCTCTCGTCTCATGGCCTCCCAGCGGTACCTAGGATGCTGTTCCTCTCATGGCCTCCCAGTGGTACCTAGGATGCTGTTCGTCTCACGGCCTTCCAGCGGCCCCACAGCAGTCAAGCTCAGATGTCGCTTCTTCCATTCCTGTATCACTTACCATCCTTCTCCTTCAGGGACCTTTGGGAAGCATACCACCACCCCAGTTCTCCTTTCTTGTTTCTTTGGGGTGCCTCCCCATTCTCATGCTTTCTGACACGGGCAAATAGATGCAGGCAATAAGCAGCGTGGTTGTATAAATGATGCCTCTCCAGTTTCTCTTCCCAACCCTCGGAGAAAGAAAGTAGCCGTGATTAAATGATGGAATGAAAATCAACTTGCAAAAGGGAAGGAAACAGGAGCTTAATCTAGAAAAGAAAAGGCAGCGGCCATTTCTCAGCACGGTCCCACTAGTATCCCCGATAAGGCAGGAATTCGCTGAACCCTCAAATTTCAGTAAAAGTCTACTAAATCCAATCACCTATATCTACCACATTTCCCTTTGAAATTAGTGCCTCTTAAGATTAAGTGAACTAGTTGCCATATTTTACCAAGGCTGAAATTGCTACATTCCTCTAACGTGGGCATTATACACTGAAAACAATCCTGAGTTGATTGTCTAATAGAAAAATCATCACTATAGAATTAATTAATTGTAATTCTTGACCAAATTTTAAAATCATCTTTTCACAGCTCACATAAGAATAGTTAATGGAGTTTTACATATCGAAATGGTATTATGCTCTCTCTTGTTCACTCGCTCACTCTCTTTCCAGCGTATCTGTGCACATATGTATGCGCACGTGTGTTAGTGTGTTTGTGTGTGTGCTCATTGAAATCAAATCGAGGATCTGGCAGATGCTAAGCACATGTCTGCGATTTAATCCTAGCCCTGCTATGCTCACTCTTATGGTTGAACAAGTGCCACAAGATTACAGAGATTTCATACATTTCCTCCGTCTTCGAATATCCTTTTTTTGTTTTTTTTCACGTTTCTATTATTGGTTTTATTAGATTTTGTTGGGGATTTCATAAGTAAGTACTATATTTACATTGTGTCTGCCCTATGCATGTGTTGAATATTTTTGTATGCTCTATGTTAGATTCTTAACATTTTAAAATTTAATTGCTCCCTCCCCCTTCCATATCCTTTCTCCAACCCTCTATTCCATCCTCTCCCCTTCAATTCATGGCCTCCGTGATGGTAAGCATTATGCTTAGGGGATAAATTTACTGTGCTATGTCTGTTAAAACATTTTTTTTAGCTTAGATAAGCTATGGGGAAGATGTCCCTACCTTGAATGTACCCTGTCAGCTGACCTGTCATGGATCACTTTGCGGTGCAAGTAGACTATTCTTAAAAAAAAGAAAACTGTTGATTGTTGCAAAAATATTTGACTGTCTCAGCTGTTCCTACAAGGTAATGGGTCACAAGATTAAACAGACTGACTGGTAAATCCCACTTTTGTATGAAATGCTTGCTTGCTTGGGTGCCTGAGGCACCTGCTGGACCGTCTGTCACAAAGTTAAGACTTGCCTGCACCTAGACAGGATATGAGCTAATGCGGCTCCCCCAAACTATAACTTTATGCTTTTTTCCTCCTTTATCATCCTTTGGCCAACAATAGCCTAGGCCTTACCTAGAGAACTCTTTCTGACTTGGCCTTGGATAGTCTCTTTGTAATAAGAAGCCCTTAATTTACTGAAACCAAGACTGGAGTCAGTTGGGTGAATCTCTGAATGACCTCAGCCCAAATACCCTCTTATTCTTATTTTATTATTGTTACAAGTATTTGTGTGAGTAAACATACAGCTTAAACCTGCTGAGTCCGTTCAGTGTTGCTTGTATGCTGTGGGATATTTGTACACTGTGAAGATGTATCGCTGTAATTGGTTTAATAAAGAACTGAACGTCCAAGAGCTAGACAGGAGGTGTAGGTGGGATTTCTGGGGTTCTGGGAGAAGAAGGAAGAGAAAGAGGAACTGAGAGGCAGGAGTAGCCAGGAGACATGGAAAGGAAACAGGAGGTGCTAGATGGAAGCTAGGTAATGCCACGTGATAGAGTGTAAATTAATATAAACAGGTTAATTTAGGTTATAAGAGCTGGTTAGGAACAAACCTAAGCTATAGACCGAGCTTTCATAATTGATAATAAGTCTGACTGACGGACACAGAAAGAATTGATATATATATATATAAATATCTGACCTGACCACTTGGGATTGAGTAACAACTTAGGGTGCTCATGCCTGGGGAAGTCTAATCCCCCCTTTCTTGGTAGTCCATAGCTATTCACTGAGGGGTGGAGCCCCTCAGTAGGGCCCCATCCACCCTCGCACATCAGTTGGTGCTGTCATTGTTCAGGGCTTGTTGAAGCAGCCATATGACTTAGATTTCACGGGTAGAGATTCCTTGTCATAGTCAGCAAACTCAGCCTTGCAGCAGACTCCTTGGTCTTCCCATGCCCTCTTCCACATGTTCCTCAGGCCTTAAGTGCTGCACCTCACAGAGGGTTGTTCTCTGCATTCTGACTAGTCCGGGCATTCTGTAGCGCCTTCTCTCCCTTTCTAATGCTGCAACCCTTTAATACAGTTCCCCATGTGGTGGTGACCCCAACCATAAAGTTATTTTCATTTCTACTTCATAACTGTAACTTTGGTACTGTTATGAATCATAATGTGAATATCTGTGTTTTCTGATGGTCTCGGGCGACCCCTGTGGAAAGGTGGTTTGACCCCAAGGGGCTCGTGACCCACAGGTTGAGAACCACTGCGGGTAGTTTTGTTTTCCATCTGCTACAAAGAAGCTTCTTTGGTGAAGGGTGATGTCCACACTTCCCTGCCACACAGATCGTTTCAGTCTGAGAAAGGGCGTCAGAAGCCAGCTGTGTACATGCCCACGATCTCAGCATTTGGGAGGCTGAGGAAGGGGGATCATGAATTTGAGTCTTGTCTGTGGGCTGGAGAGATGGCTCAGAGGTTAAGAGCACTGCCTACTCTTCCAAAGGTCCTGAGTTCAATTCCCAGCTACCACATGGTGCCCGCTTGAGGAAGAGACCTGGTCAGCCGTCCTCAGCATTAGACGTCATATGGACAAGTTCAACAGAACCACCATATATGGTCTTCCCATGCATGCCTCAGCATTGCCGGGGCATAAATTTCAAATTTCATTCTGTGCTACATAAGAAGACCACATTTTAGGGCTGGAGAAATGGCTTGATAGTTAAGAGCACCCATGACTGCTCTTCCAGAGAACTCGGGTTCAATTCCCAGCATTGCCTGGCAACTCACAACTGTCTGTGACTCCAGTTCCCGGGGACCCAACACCCAGGGCAAAGCACCAATGAACATAAATAAATACATAGATAGATAGATAGATAGATAGATAGATAGATAGATAGATAGATAGAAACCTTGCAATAAAAAAAGAAAAGAAGACCACATCTCAATTTTTGAAATCCTTATAAGGAACAAGGAACTGGGAGGTGGCTCTGTCAGTAAAATAGATGCCCTGTAAGCATGAGGACTTGAGTCTGATTTCTAGTACCCACTTAAAGCTGGGCATTGTGATGCATACATGTATAGTTGGGAGTAGTTGGGAGGCAGAGGACAGGGTCCCCCTGGGAGGCAGAGAACAGGGTCCCCCAGACTCGCTGGCCAGTTAGCCTTGCTGAATTGGTGAGTTCCAGTTTCAAGGAGAAATACTATCTCAAAAAAAAAAAAAGATGTTGAGTGGTAAAGGCAGATATCTGGCACACAAACACAGACACACATGCACATAAGCACACATGCACACACAGTTTATGAGGTGTCAGATGCATAATGATTGTTGAAATTCTATTACTAATGTTCACCTATTCATTCTGCCTATTACTTAAGAAAGTGACCCAAATTTTGCCACCCACAAGTCTCAAGAGCCCCATAAAAGTCTGCCTAAATTCATAAAACATGTTAGTTTAGGAAAGCACTAGTGAATACGTGAATTATCCTCTAGTGAGTAAAAGTGAAACCTCAACTTGCAATGCTTACGGGAACTGCTCAACAGCACCATCTAGTGGAAAGCAAAGCCCTCTCTCACAGGAAGCGGTTTCCGTGGTACTTACTGTTTGATTTTCCAGTCATTCATCCTGAGATGCTGCAGATACAGCCCGTGTGAACGAAAACTCCTGAAAAGAAGCTGTGTCTTGCTG